GAGTGCCACTGAAAATCAGCTCGCGTGCCGTCTTCGGCACACGTGCCAGAGGTTGCCTACCCCTGCTCTAGAGCCACCAGGGCCCAGCCACGCTGCACGGGCCGAGACAGCCTCCCTTGCCCAGCTGTGCTGCAGGTGCTGGCGCCCTCGCCTTTGGGATCTGCCCACAAGCAGCTCTCCCGTCTGCGCAGGCTAGAGACAGGGCAATGGCTGGAGCTGACTGCAGGACGGGCTAACGCGCAGGGTGGTGTTCTCCAGGGGCTGCCTGCATCTCCCGGGCACAACAGCAACATGGGGCATGTCCCGCATCCAGGGGGGCCAGGTCCCCAGGCAAGTGACGGCTCAGCAGCTCCTCCCAGCCGGCTGTTGGGCCCTGGGAAACGCCCGCACCCAGGAAACGCCCACACCAGGAAACGCCCGCACCAGGAAACGCCCACGCCCCAGCACTGAGAGTTTATACGTGCTGCAACAGCTGCTCCGGGTTAGGTTTGCTTGTGAGTGTATCATGGGACTGCAGAGGGCGCTCCGAGCCCCTGGAACCTCCAACCCTCCCCCCCCCACCCGCATTGACACCCCGCCCCCCCGCCCCAGCTCTGGGGAGTCCCTGGGGCCCTGGAGGGGCAGGGCTGCCAGGCTGTCGGTGAAGCCCAAGGAGGCTCTGCCCCCCACCTTACCCTCTGCAGGCGGAAGGTGCGTGTGACCAGGCCCGTGGTTATCCAGGTGTTGCTGAGTGTCACCGTGAAGTCCCCGTACACCTGCTCGCCCTCCGGCCAGTACTGCTCACACTTGGTCTGTTAACAGCGGGCGACACCTGAGAACTCTGCACCCCCACCCTCCGCTAGGGCTGTGCTGGTGATGGGGAGGGGAGCCCCTGGCAGGGAACGACCCTGGCCTGGCCTCTGGGGCTGGGCATGCCCAGGACACCGGCCATGGGAAATGTCTAGCATCACCATGGTGTTACCGGTGCTCCCTACACGGCACACGCCTGCGATCCCACCATCCTCCTCCCAGCGTCCAGGCCAGCCTCCGCACAGCTCCCCGGCCCTGCAGAGAGTGGGGAGGGGAATGGCCCATCCCCTTCCCATCCACTGGCGCAGGGATCACCCCAGGCCAGGCCCAAGGATCGCTGGCCCCTGACTGGCGCTGGGAAGTTGGTCTGGAATTTCTTCCCCTCTCCCCGCAGCTGCCGGGGGCACTGCCTTTCTTCACCCCCGGCTCCATCTCTCCGCCCAGGACCTGGGTTCCTCTCAGTGCACCATTCCCTCAGCCTCCCCTTTGTTGCTGGTCCGTGTAGGACTCTCCACCTCTCGTGTCTCTGCTCAGTTCCCCCTTGGTGCCCCAGGACAGGGCTCCCTCCCAGAGCGCGGGGCTGGCCTTCCCCTCCCGCGTGGGCACAGCTAGGCGGAAGGGAAAGCAGCAGCCTGGGTCCCATGTGGCCTGGCCGGGCTGGCTGAGGCCCCGGCTGAGCGTGGAGCCCGGCTGGGAGGGGCTGGGCTGTTGGAGGACCTGGGCCCCAAAGGAAGCTGGGTTCTCTACCTTGTTCTGCTCCACCAGGCCCGTTAACATCACAATGGCCGAGGTCTTCTCCTGCCAGATCATCTGCCAGAAATCCACCACGGTGCCAGGCAGCGGGCCTGGGGAGAGGAACATAGCACGTCAGTATCCGCATGCTCCTGACCCAGCGCCACGCCCGTCCTAGCGTTCAGGGAGGGACTGAGCGGGTGCACCACCGGGTAGCCTGGAAGCTGCTGTGCTAATGGACCGGGAAGCCCAGTTACTCTGCCCATGGCCTGTCCCCTGAGGACTCCCGCTCAGAGCAATCCCAGCAGCGGGGCAGCCCAGAGAGCGCAGTGGCTGAGGTCAGAGGTGCCAGGGCCCAGTGTGGGGGCTGCCCAGCTGCTGGGCACAAGCAGGGCAGGGCGGGGGTGAGGATGAGCCAGGCACCGGGGGGGTCAAGGCAGATGCTGCTCTCAGCTGTTTCCCACAGTCCAGTGACCGAAGTAGCACGTGATTTGGCTCGGAGCTCAGTGCCAGGCTGATGCCATGGGCCGGGGGGCCTCACGCTGGGGCATCTCCTATCTGCACAGGAGCCTGGAGACCCAGACCCGGGCGCTGCACAGAGCCAGGAGGCTGGGGGGATCAGGGGGTGGCATCTGGAGTGGGAAGCTCCCAGCACTTTCAGTGACGAGCCCCGTGAGCCCCTGGGCACGTGGGAGCCGTCTGCGCCTGTCTGCTGTTAGAAGGGATCAGGGCTCTGGCCGCACGGTCACGGCAGGAGCAGTTCAGTCTCTGTTGCTTAGTGCATCGCCCTCCCTCTCCTCCAAACTCCTCCGGAGCCTTCCAGCTGCGGTCGCCCCGCTGAGCAGACCATGACTGGGACAGAGGGGCTCAGACAGAGGCCCCTATTCGCCCGTCTCAGAACCCAGGAGCAGGGCCACAGCCCCTGGAAGTGAGCGGCTGCATGTTTGAAACCGATCAAAGGAAACCCTTTTTGTGCACGACACGTAAGGAGCCTGTGGAACTCACTGCTACAAGGGATCACTGAGCGCAGCAGTCAGCCAGGGCTCAGAGCGGCGTGGAGGGTGAGAACCGCCGAGGGCATAACGCCATAGCAGGGTCTCACACCTGCTGCCTTGGGCATGAGCCAGCCCCCAGTGGATGCAGGTTAGGAAGAGACGTCTCCTGTGGCCACTAAGCACTGGCCACTGCAAGAGGTAGGAGCCCAGGCTAGATGGGCCCTGGGCTAGGCTGGCTGGCAGTCCGTGTGTCAGCTCCACACCTCTTGGGAATGGCTGGACTGGGCGCGCCCCAGAGCCGGGTCTGACTGCCCTGGGCCTGGACAGGGCCACGTGCTGGACTAAGCAACCCCCCCACACACACCTCCCCGCCATTGTCCCAACCGGGAGCACTCACCCTGGGCAGCGATGAAGAAGCGGGGGCTCCTGTAGCTCTGAGCAGGAGGGGAGACAGCAAGTGTTAGTCACATGATCTCAACACTTAACCAATCAGGAGTATGAGATGAAATACCCAGGGCCAGCCCTGAGCTGGGCCATGTGCCTGGGTCACAGGGCAGGGCCAGTTCCCACAGCCCCCACCCCCCACCCGGTAGCCAAACCCTCTGCCTGCTGGGAGCTACGCCCGGCTCTCTGGGCCCACGTGCGCATCACTTTGACAAGGAGATCACTGCTCGGGGGCCCCTCGAGTCGCACGCAGGGGCTCACGTGGAGCGTGAGACTATCCAGCGCCTGCCGTATCTGGCATCCTCGGGGGGGAATGTCTCCAGTGTGTGAGCAGGGGGGGAATGTCTCCAGTGTGTGTGAGCAGGGGGGGAATGTCTCCAGTGTGTGTGAGCAGGGTGACCGGCCGTCCCAATAGCAGGGGCTTTGTCTTACATATGCCGCTATACCCGCCCCCCCATCCTCAGGGAAAAAAATCCCCATTTTTCCCCCTGCTACCAGGTCACTCTCTGTGAGAGACGCTGCCCAGCCCCGGTGCACCCTGGAGGGCCCCGTTGTGCAGCCGCTGCCCAGTACCCATGTGACTGGAGCAGGGCTGAGGGAGGGCGGCTGTCGCTCAGAGCAGGGGGGTGTTTGTTCCTGTGGTGCCAGGAAGGTGGGGCTGCCCGTGTGCCCCAGAGCCTCCCCTGCCCCCTCTCCCCGCACGGAGCAGCAGCAGCGCGCCCCTCGCTGCCTGGGTACCTACATCGACGTAGCTGGCATTGATGTAATCAGCTCCCGGGCTAGCGGACTGCAGCACCACACGGCAGTGATCGTCTGAAAGACAAAGGGGGGCCGATCACTGACCAGACAAGCCCAGTCGAGGGGGAGGCTCCTGCCAATGCTCCCTCCCTCCAGACAGACATTGCCAGGCCCACAGCCCGGAGCCAGGGCCTCTGGCAGCGCCGGGCCCAGCTTCGCCGTGACCCTGGAGTTCTCAGGACAGCCCTGCTTCGACTCCCTGTGTGATCTTGGGCAAGTCCCGTAGCCTCTCTGTGCCTCAATTCCCCACCTGCACATGGGACAGCAGCCCTGCCCCACCACACAGGGCAGCCACCTCTGGCAAGGGGGGTGGCAGCTGCTTAGCTACATTGCAAATCTACGTAGGGCAAGAATGTGGAGAGACTCATACGTGCAAGGAAAGGTGCCGGCGGGTGAATGTCGGGAGGCAGAACAGAATTATCTGAGTCAATATTTGATCAGGACAGCAGGTCGACCCCCTGACTCTGGGGAAATGTGCCGTGAGATCTAGAACGACCACGAGAGGTGAGGGGCTCCATGTTACGCAGCAGCCAAATGACGGCACCTCCAGCAACACAAGGCCCTCAGCACCGCATGGGGGTCAGCATGGACTTGGAGGGGACAGTAACTGAGTCCCCCGCCCCGCTCCCCGCTGCACAGCGCCCCCTAGTGCCAAGCCAGGGCACTGCACCCAGCGCTCATTCCTAACGGAAAGCACCCTACTGAGTCCCCCGCCCCGCTCCCCGCTGCACAGCGCCCCCTAGTGCCAAGCCAGGGCACTGCACCCAGCG